GTAGGCTGCAGTGCAGGATTGAAAATGTAGTCACTGGTTTGTTATGATATGACAGAACTCGTATCTCCATATTTCATAACATTATTTTTTTTGTCATAAATAGGTCACCCTTTACTTCTGTCTGTGTGTTTTACAAATATTTAACCAACAATAAGTCATTAGAAATGAGCATTTATGTGCTTCATTTAAAAAAAAAAAAAGCAATCAAATGCTAGCATTTCAGCATCCCTCCCAGGTTCATAATCACTCCTATGCTCCTGATTTGTATATTTGTGTCCCTAAAAGCCTTGTACTTTTTAGAAAAACAATAGGATGAACAACATTAAAAAAATCTTCTATGCATTAGTAATGGAATAAAATGTTAAAATAAAACATTTATTAGGTAATTTCTCATACCGCTTTAAAATGTTACTGCTTAATCAGAGTATTTTCACATGATTATTAGATTAATTAAACATGTTTCCATTTTTTTATACAGGTGCAAAAGGACCAGAGGACTGTTGTTTCAAATTCTATATGAAAGCAATACCTTTAAGAGCCATTAAAACCTACGTATATACAAGCAATGACTGTCCGAAAGCTGGAATCATGTAAGCGGTTTTTTTTTTTTTGCTGTTTTTTTATAAGACTGGTTGTTTTTAATCATTCATTTTTTAAACAAACTTAAAGAATATTACTCGTTTTGGTGAATATTGTGGACCAACACTGACTTAAATCTTCTTTTCTTTCCAGTTTTATTACCCAGAATTCCAGCCGCGTGTGCAAGGACCCAGGCTTTAAGTGGGCCATTGATTTAGTTGACCAGCGCATGTATGAAAACTCAACCTAAACTCAGCGGAGTTGTTAAATCCCTTATCCAGTAATCAGAAGATTTATTTACATATTCACCTTTTGCCAAAATTATTTTGCTATTATGTAAGCCAAAATTATTCATTTTATCTTAAAGTACATTTTTATCACTCGTTATTGCTTTTTCATTTGTTAAATACAGTGACATAAAAAAAATGCATGGTGGAATTCATATGCACAAAAATCATCCATAGCTGATCACAAACATCACACACAAACATTGAGACAAATAACTAACCACTTATCAAGAAGCACAGACTATTCTCCATACCTAATAAATACATTTTGATGATTAACTGACAACTAATGAAAACCCCAAAATAAGTATATCAGAAAATTACAATATTGTGCAAAGGTTCAATATTGAAGACACCTGGTGCCAGACTCTAATCAGCTAATTAACTCAAAACACCTGCAAAGGCCTTTAAATGGTCTCTCAGTCTAGTTCTGTAGGCTACACAATCATGGGGAAGACTGCTGACTTGACAGCTGTCCAAAAGACGACCACTGACACCTTGCACAAGGAGGGAAAGACACAAAAGGTCATTGCTAAAGAGGCTGGCTGTTCACAGAGCTCTGTGTCCAAGCACATTAATAGAGAGGCGAAGGGAAGGAAAAGATGTGGTAGAAAAAAGTGTACAAGCAGTAGGGATAACCACACCCTGGAGAGGATTGTGAAACAAAACCCATTCAAAAATGTGGGGGAGATTCACAAAGAGCGGACTGCAGCTTCAAGAACCACGCACAGACATATGCAAGACTTTGGTTTCAGCTGTCGCATTCCTTGTGTCAAGCCACTCTTGAACAGCGTCAGAAGCGTCTCGCCTGGGCTAAAGACAAAAAGGACTGGACTGCTGCTGAGTGGTCCAAAGTTATGTTCTCTGATGAAAGTAAATTTTGCATTTCCTTTGGAAATCAAGGTCCCAGAGTCTGGAGGAAGAAAGGAGAGGCACAGAATCCTCGTTGCTTGAAGTCCAGTGTAAAGTTTCGACAGTCAGTGATGGTTTGGGGTGACATGTCATCTGCTGCTGTTGGTTCACTGTGTTTTCTGAGGTCCAAGGTCAACGCAGCTGTCTACCAGGAAGTTTTAGAGCACTTCCTGCTTCCTGCTGCTGACCAACTTTATGGAGATGCAGAATTCTTTTTCCAACAGGATTGGCACCTGCACACAGTGTCAAAGCTACCAGTACCTGGTTTAAGGACCATGTTATCCCTGTTCTTAATTGGCCAGCAAACTCGCCTGACCTTAACCCTATAGAAAATCTATGGGGTATTGTGAAGCGGAAGATGCGATACGCGAAACCCAACAATGCAGAAGAGCTGAAGGCCACTATCAGAGCAACCTGGGCTGTCATAACACCTGAGCAAAGCCACAGACTTATCGATTCCATGCCACGCCGCATTGCTGCAGTAATTCAGGCAAAAGGAGCCCCAACTAAGTATTGAGTGCTGCACACGCTCATACTTTTCATCTTCATACTTTTCAGTTGGCCAACATTTCTAAAAATCCTTTTTTTGTATTGGTCTTAAGTAATATTCAAATTTTCTGAGATACTGATTTTGGGGTTTTCATTAGTTGTCAGATATGATCATCAAAATGAAAAGGTATGAACACTTGAAATATATCAGTCTGTGTGTAATGAATGTATATATTATACTAGTTTCACTGAAATAAATCAACTTTTTCATGATATTCTAATTTTATGACCAGCACCTGTATATAGCAGAGTCTAACTGATCACACTGGTACAGCAATGTATAATGTAATAGCATAATGAACTTAATAGCAGTAAGTATTCTCAGTAGAAAAGGGAAACATTAATTGATGGCACATTTTATCAGCTTATGTGCCGTCACCTCAGTTAGCTACAAAACACCTACACGCAAAGCTATGTTTTATAAAGAAAGCATAGTCACAATAAACATTCCCTGCACAACATAATCAAGAAAAAATCGTCTTACCTATTACAAAATATTCCACAAAGCTGTCATGTCAGTGTCCTCCTCCTCTTCCCTGTGTCCATTATGTATACATGACTGCATAAATGATTTGGGATTGAACTTTGAGATTGATTTGGGATTGAACATACCTATTTCTAACTGTAACAACCGTGTGAGATCAGTGGCTCTTAGATTAAGGGCTATTCCCTGGTAGCAGGCCACGGGGTGGCGTAGTCAACATATTGAGGTGTTGTGTTACTTATTTTTTGGTTATTTTAATTTCTGTAATTTTTCCCATCCTCTTTGTTTATATCTTCGTGCTACCACATCTGGTGTAGCCGGCATGATCTCAGCTGTTGTTAAAGGTTGGGATGTGGAGGATAAATATTTTTTGTATATTTGTAGGCACCTCCCAAAAATGTAGTTGAATAAATGGTGTGCTTGCTGCATTTTTGGGTGGATTCAGTTTGAGACTACATTTCCCATGGTCCTTTGTTTTTGAATACGTTGCAATTTGTTTCCATTGGAGTAGTTCAAGCCAATGGGTTGCCTGTTTAATTAAACTCCTAGCCAATCAGAGGTCACCTTTGTTGGGGAGGGGAAAAGAGGAAAAAAAGGAAAGGAGGGGGGAGGTAGCGAACAGGAGAGGGAGAAACACGCTGGAGGAGGAGGCGGGGAAAAGAAAAAAGAGAACCGAGTTTTAACGCAGAGGTGATGTTTGTAGACTAAACTTCTATTAAAGTAGTGGCACAAATATCATTTTATTCAGCGAAGAGAGCAACTATCGCGCTCGGTAAATTTGTGAACTGTAAGGTGAAGTGCTAGCTTAGCTGCGTTTGTTTGTTTTGCACTATCTTGGGAAAAACAAAGCTAAGTACAATCTGTAACTCGTGGACTATGGTCTTCGTGAGGGACGGACATCTGTAACCGCCAGTCGCAGTGTGGCTGTGAAACTGAAGGACGAGTACTGTGGAGAACTGTGCCGGTAGCATAGTAGCTACTACGCTGTTTAAGGAGGAACTCCATCGCTGAACCTGCGTCGCTGAATGAACCTTCTGGAACCTCGCGTGCCGCGGATTCATTCTCTCAGCTCGTGACCACCGGGCTAATTCTTCTGTTCCAGAGGCGTGAGTAACGGAAGAGGTTTTGTAGCGTTCAATAAAGGAACCCAGGAGGATTTTTTTGTTTGTATGTGCACCAACTCACGGGCCCCAACAGAAAACCCAAGCGTGGTGAAGGTTCTGAACAGTTAAAAAAGGGGTTTAAGTGGTAAAAACCAAACTGTACTGTTCCTGTTGTTTCATAATTAGAAAGGAGTGTTTGCGTTACTGGACTAAATTTTGTTTCTATACATATATACAGTATTGCAGGTTATTGTTTAGCATAATAAATGTTGTTATTTTGTTTAATACATCTATTTGGGTTTACTTTTTTTTTATTATAATACTACCTGGCTTTACTGACCTTTTATATTTAATAAGGTTTATATATATTTGGTCTAGTTATACTCAATATTTGTTTCTTCTGGGGAATAACAATACGCTCATAGTGTGTGAGTGGGGAAATTCTTCAGTGGACGGCAAGCGCATTACGGATTAAATAATTTCCATACAGTTCTGCCTGTATAACATCATCGACTGGTAAATAGAGGTTAGCCAAATTCACCATCAACTGCTAAATACTCAGGATCCTGTTAATTAAAACCATTTACTGTAGTAACCTTCTCTAATATTACACTTCCGGCGCCAGGAAGGGGTTACATATTGTTTGTAGTTTGTATGTTTTTTCTTTCTTTATAGCAGAGTGGTGGTGACTGTTCAGGGGAGGTGACATTTTTCTCCCTGGTAAGCATACATTGCAGTGTTTAAACCATGGAGAAGGAATTGTGAGAAATTAGGGATTTAGTGGACTAATTAAAGGCAGATAATGCACGACTACGACAGGAGCGGTGCAGGTTGAGTTGGCTGATCTTGGCTGCTCTCTCTTAGTGAGGCGTCACCAGTTATAGCCCAGTTGGCTGGTATGAGTGTCGGTGTGGCAGAGCTAGTCGAGTGCAAACCAAAAGATCGGCGCTGTGCAAAATGTAAGGCCAATTTACACTACATTACATAAACCACAACATTGCAACCGATTGGCTGTTGTCTATGGTCTGCTGATGAGAAATGCACATACTTAAACTTTTGTTCACCAGAGTAGATTCTCCCAACCTCGCATTGGTAGTATAGTGGTGAGCATAGCACCCTTCCAAGCACTTAACTTGGATTTAATTTCCAGCCAATGCACACACTGTAACTTGCAGGTTCAAGTGCCTTTATGGTAGATGGCACAAAAGGAAGGAATCAACTACCTGAAAATTAATTGGTCAACAGAGTGTTCCACAGGCTTCTCTGTAGGCCTCTTAGTATTCTTTTTGCTTTCCCACTTGTACTGTTTGTGGTTCTTTGCTGTTTGGAAGCACATCATTATCCATCATGGCACATTTGACCCATGAACAGGGGCAAAAATGTCAGAAAATGCAGTCTCTCCATGTCTGTCTTTTGTTAGCGTAGCATGCAAACTGTGATGTGATGGCAATCAGCTATCTGTATAGTCGATGTTTTATATTTAATAAGCAATTATGTCTATATGCTGATTGGTCTTAAGCTGGGTTGTCCAATCTTCAGGTTTTCGTTCCAATCTAGCAGGAGCCACACCTGATTCCAATTGTTTGAACTGCTGATCTTGGCTTTCAATAGACTAAACTGTGGCTTCTGCTTGGATAGAATTAAAACCTGCAACCACACTGGCCCATTCTTGATAAGACTGGACAACCCTGATCTAAAGCTAATGACCACTAAGGTAAGTGCCAAATTGTTGAGTTCTGAATCTGTCATGTTGACTTGACGTCACTCGATGAACAGGGAAGGAACTGGTTTCTACATTCTGTGGAAAACCAGAGACTCCCTTTCATTTTGTAAGCAAATGTTATCTTCTTGTCTACAAAAGCACAAAAGAAGGAAATCTGCTCTGTTCAAATATCTCACTTTCTGGCTGTTCCTAGAGGACCTGATCCTACAGTGATGACAACCGGTCAGTTAATAAAGCAAAGTTCAAAATTTCCAACTTGTTTCTGCCTGGTCTCGAACCACGAACCTTTTTTGTGTGAGGCAAACATCCTCTCAGCACTCATGCAGCCCCAGACCATGACACTCCCACCACCATGCTTGACTGTCGGCAAAACACACTTGTCTTTGTACTCCTCACCTGGTTGCCACCACACATGCTAGACACCATCTGAACCAAATAAGTTTATCTTGGTCTCATCAGACCACAGGACATGGTTCCAGTAAACCATGTCCTTAGTCTGTTTGTCTTCAGCAAACTGTTTGCGGGCTTTCTTGTGCATCATCTTTAGAAAACTATTTATTTATAAGTTAGGGCTATTGTAACATTTGAAGATTTTATTGTCAGTAACATACCGACTTCTACTCTTATTGAATAAAGACCGAATAAATATTCTTTTCTCTGGTTTAGTAGCACATACACTATTCATTTAAATGTAGCTTGATTGAACGTTTTACTCCTGCTGGACGCTTAACACTTTGGGAATGTCCCTGCGTTCGAGTTACAAAGTGGCTAACTTTGCAGAGTGTGTATTTACCACCTCCCTCAATACAGTGAAGTGGAGAGTTAGTGTTACAGGTTTAACAAGTGAATATGTCTGTAGGTTGGTTGATCTAAAGCTAATAATTGTATAACCGTTAAAACTCGTTTACGACTCTTATTAGTAAGTTGCATGAGTCATAGAATCTGACTCACTGGAATGAGACTGAGTTCCCATCACTCTGTGTGTGTGAGCAGCAGCGCCCTCACGTGGTGGTTTCATGTGGTAAATTTTACCATGACCTCTGACACTGTGGTTATGAAACATTTTGTGGTCTGAGAACTTGAGGAAACTCTCTAAAACAAAACAGGATTTAACAGTTTTGTGTTTTTTATACCAAATGGAGATAATAAACTGAATCTTTTGCTAATCTGGTTTAATGAGTAAGTGTCATGTAATGGAGGCAGAGGCTGATGCAAGTGCTGCTAAAGGTTTAAGAATAATCAAAACAAACACAAAAGAAGCTATAAACATGTTGCAAAAACACTAAAACGAGGAATAAACATGACACAAGGACCAGAAGAGAAACACCGGCAAAGTGAGACAATTAAAGCAAGACAAAGTGCAATGCAAGCTGTCGTTACATACACATATACATTATATGTATACATGTATACATGTACACACCACACACACACACACACACCCCCGCTACCCTGAACAAGGACTAAGCGGTAGAAGATGGATGGATGGATGGATGGATGGATGGATGGATGGATGGATAGATATACACACACAAACATCGAGTGCTCGTTAACTAGAATGTGATTCAGGTGCAGGTGGTCATGTGACCATGATGTAGTGCAGTGGCTGCTGGGAGCTGTAGTTCAGAGTAGCCTCCAGCATATCCATAACAGAACCTGGAGCATGACTACTACTACCGAAGTGCCAGAAAACACTCCCTCCCCTGGTGGTCCTGGCCCTCTGGGCAAACTTCTTAACAGCCCTTCAGGTCTTAAGACAAGCATTGTCCAACAGATAGTAGGCTCCTCAAGGAGCCGAGGGGCAGGCATGACGTTGGGGCAGGCTCGCCAGGGTTGCTAGACAGCACCCTGGAATGGGAAGCTGGGTCATCCACTTGAGCAGGGTGAGGAGGCAGAGCAACATCCTCAGTGGAACAGGAAGGCAGAGCAACATCCTCAGCAGAACAGGAAAGCAGAGTGACGTCCTCAGCGGAACAGGAAGGCAGAGTGACGTCCAGCCTGGTTGGAAGGCTCCTCCTTGACATACCCCATGACGGACTACATCATGTCAAGCCACTCCGAGGGAGAACTTCCCCTCCTTCTCCCACCTCAGCTTTTCCCTCTCATACAGGGCCTCTTGACCTTTAAAATAATCCGCTGCATCCATCTTAGGGTTTTGCTTTCTGTCGCGTAATGGAGGCAGAGACGGATGTATGTGCAGATAAAGGTTTAATACTAATCAAAACAAACACAAAAGAAGCATTTCAGCCTTTTTTTTTCAAGCTACTGCTAATATTGTTGGGAGTGAACATGGGTGCACTCTTTCTGTCCTCCGAGACTCTGGGACAAAAAATACTTTTCTGACTCAAAAGCAGAAGAGATCAATGAAAATCAGCACAAAGTAGTGACGATGCTGCCTGATTGATATCGTGATGAATAATTCAGAGTTTTTCCTAATGTCATCATTTTGATAAACTCACTCTGTTCTATATTTTGTTATATTCAGAGTGTGTGATTAAGCAGTTTTCTCATACAGAACAATGATCGAATGTACTTTCTGTCCACACCTCCCCCACTCTATTCTTCCTCTGTATTTCCCCCTCTTATAAAGCTCATACACGCCATCTATTACCCACTGACCACTACCTGTTTGTGTATGTGTGTGTGTGTGTGTATGTGTGTGTGTGTGTGTATGGGGGGTTCACTAACATCAGACACTCTTATCAAGTCAAGCGGGTTGTATTGTCATTCCTCTGTATAGCTTGTACACATTGGAACCTAATACCATTTCTCCAGGATCATGGTGCAACACATAATAATACAATGTTACAGCACACAAGACTACAGAAAGTGCAGATACACAACAGTAAGTACGTTTACATGGACAACAATATTCCACTCTTAATCTAATTAAGACCATACTTTGATTAAGAAACTACCATGTAAACACCAACCTTAATCTAATTAAGATCTTAATCAAATTAAGCTCTAATCGAATTAAGACAGGTGTAGTACTCCTCTTTTAATCGTATTATGTACGTGCATTACAGACATGTAAACACCTTAATATCATTATGAATGTCGTGTGAGCGTTTTCACCGCATTTTGCGACAGGACACGATCACACACATACATGGCAGTTTTACGTTTTACGGCAAACAAGAGAGTTCGGCTGCGTCCCAAACCGCATACTTGCCTACTATAGGCCTGTAGTGGGGAAAAAGACAAGTATCTCGGTTCCTATATAGTAGGTAAGTATGCGATTTCAGATGCAGCCCACGGCTTCAGGCCGTTGTCTATTAGCACGTACAGCATGACTAATAATTAACTGCACTTAAAGCGTTCGTAAAACATTAAACAAAACCACCCAAAACTGTATACAGTCCCAAAACGAAGATGAACTGTATGTTGATACATGAAATATTGGAGTGACGTCGAACAGCGTGGCGCGGTGACGTAATGACGCTGGCTCTTAATCTAATTTTGATCTATAACATAAAAAACGGGAACATGACAGGAGTATTCTCAAAGCGACTCATGTAAACAACTTAATCACATTATTACTTTACTTAGATTAAAGTCAATAATTAGATTATTGCTGTCCATGTAAACGTAGTCAGTGTGAGACCAGTATTTAAAAAAAAAAAACTAAATACAATTCAATTCAATTCAATTTTATTTGTATAGCGCTTTTTACAATAGTCATTGTCTCAAAGCAGCTTTACAGAAATAAAAAACAGGTATAAACAGTCAGAAACAGATAAACAGAAACAAACAGGTATAAAACAAATGAAATTTATCCCAACTGAGCAAGCCACTGAGTGGCGACGGTGGCAAGGAAAAACTCCCTAAGATGTTTTTTGAGGAAGAAAACTTGAGAGGAACCCGACTCAGAAGGGAACCCATCCTCATCTGGGTAACACAGATAATGTGAAAATAAGAAGTATGGCCTTAGGAGCAGCCGTAGTCCCAGCAGAAGATTTGGGCTCATCCAGAGGCAGAAGGGATCTAGATCTCCAATATCTCCATAAATTCGTGTGGGGCTCGGCAAAAAGAGAGAGAGGGAGAAAAACGATTAGGACTGTGAAGTAGTGAGATATAATCTAGTCAGGGTAAGCTTGAGTAAACAAATATGTTTTAAGCCTAGACTTAAACACTGAGACTGTGTCTGAGTCCCGAACACTAATAGGAAGACTGTTCCATAACTGTGGGGCTCTATAAGCGAAGGCTCTTCCCCCTGCTGTAGACTTCACTATTCTAGGTAATGCACCTAGCCTGCACCTTTTGATCTGAGTAGGCGTGGTGGATCATATAAAACCAGAAGGTCGCTTAGATATTGTGGTGCAAGACCGTGTACTGCTTTATAGGTTAATAAAAGTATTTTAAACTTAATGCGAGATTTTACTGGGAGCCAATGCAGTGTGGATAAGATCGGGGTGATATGGTCTGATATTAC